TTTGCAAACGGAAGTATATAGGTTTTGACGGAACTTTTATTTACGAATTTTCAAACAGCTGTTTGCAAACGTTTTTTGTAAATTGATATCGATATTCGTTGAAAGAAATCTGTAAATCTAAACTAAATTTTAAACATTAGTACTCAAATATACATGTTATATTATACTGTCATAGTCACGACTGTTAAATGTCATTTTAACTTAAATAGCAACGTCATTGTAATCTCATACAGAATTTAAAATATATTTTCTCTTATGAATCTATTTAAATTTGATAACGTATTATAATATGCACGAAAAGGAATCTGTACATGGAAATCTAATGCATTGGGTTAAAATAACTTTGAATTCGGCGTGTGAGGTTTGAAAGATAATATTTTGTTATTAAGTTCTTACACGGCTACTAATTTTAAAATTTAAAAATATTTGTTTCGATTTTCTATGGTGACGTAAGTTACTAAAAGCACAATAAAGCTTCTTAGGAGTGCATAGAAATCATTTTAAATAATACTCCGTTTCAAAGTTTCTAAATGGATTGGTCATGTTCATCTATCAATCAATTTCCAGCGCAAGAGGTTAAGCATGCTCGGTTGGTCTTCAGTACTCACTTTCTTTCTATATCGCATTCTTCTGTTTTAACGAGTCTTTACTGTTTTGTAATTCAAATGCAATAAGAAATTTACCTTTATTAGTACAAAATATATGTATGAAGTTTCCATTATTTCTTCCTGTGTTAATATAAACATTTCTTGAATTAGAAAATCCATTTAATAATATGTTTGTAATTACTAAATTAAAATTGGAGACCTACTGCATGATTATCTACAAAATTCACAACATGTTTCCAATACATTACAAGCAAACAGATTATTCGAAAAGATAATAGACATAGGAATTAAATATAAAGAGAAATTCATTAAATTATTTGCAACACACGCGCGTTTCATATTCTTCAACCATATCATTATTGTATTAAACTGAAATACGATTTTTGCAATATTTAAAAGATAAGAACATGTCTGTTATAGTGCTTGACAATTATTAAAAGGCGTAGAGATTATTTTACAGGTGATAATGGTTGTAGGTAATTATAATCTATTTATATTTCAATTAATAAAAATAACAAAGGATATATTAATTTACCACTATCAACAAATAATTATTTTATTCCGCTCGAACAAATTAAAAAATACACAGTTGTAATATGTTTGTAATGTATTACTTTAAATAATGATCATTATTTCAAATGACAGTTCTTAATAGTTTAAACACTTACCGAAATTATTTTATTTGAAATCACAATTATTGTTATGTTATTATCATTTATTTGTATATTTTATTATGCATGGCATTAAATTTACTTTTGTCATTTCATATTTCTTTCAAAACTGTTTTTACTCGAATATTACAAAAACAGAAATTAATTGTCTTAATTTTATTAGCATGAATTTTATAGGAAAATAAATATACTTTTAGTGTTTACTACAATATACTTATAGTATATTACCTATAATATTATTACATATTATAATGTATTATTACGTATAATATACTTTCTGTATACTTGTTCCACAATATACACAAAATAGGCATAATTATTTTATTTCAGAGCTAGGAAGGACATAATATATGTTAATAACAATTTTATTATAAAAACCAAGAGTTTATTTCTAAATGAGTTAATGAATATGAAATACTGCAGCATTACCTCTTACGTAAAGCTAAATAATTTTTCAAAACTGTCAATATTAATGAATGTAACATATAAATGCTTTTTGTATAATATTGTGTAATATTTAATAAATACATTTCTCATCTTTTTACTTATTATTAAATAATTTATGTTGACTTATTTATAATAAATTTCATAATTATTTTTATCATTATTAATTCTAATATGTATATAGTATTTATCAGTTCTTAAAAAAGTTATTAACAATTAAAAACTTTAAATAACTATCAAATGTCTATAATGACGTATTCGAAATCTGCACTTTCGTACCAACAGCGCAGTGAAATGACGTATCATCGGATCCGGATATGTCGATAGAACGCAAACAGACGCAAAGCGGGTCCCGCCATGTTCAAATAGCGCGGTTGTTTCTTGCGGTGACGTAGCGCAAGAAAAATTCCAATTATCTTGCGCTGGAACGGCAGACAGTTGCTTTCGCCTCAATTCTAGTAATCATATTAACGTGTGAGGAAAAATTCTTTCACAGGAATAACTCTTATAAAGGTTTAATCAACTAGCAAGGTAAACACTGAATATCAGTTTACAATGTATCTTTATCGAACAACTCATCTTTGCGAATAACAGTGCCTCCTACGGTTAAGTGACGTAATTTGTTTCACTTCCATGCTTGTAATTACCAGTGACGATTCTCCAGTCGGTCTTGACCAGTGGCTAGGTGATTTATCCTGACGAATACGTGGTGCACGTCTTAAAAATTAAAAAAAGTTGGCGCAGACATGATCCAAACGGAGGATTTACCGCGAATGACATCATTGTCACCCGGCAACGATGCAACAGTTTTGAAGTCAACAAAGCCTGTGTGTGTGGTAAGGACTAAAGTGTTTAAAACTTTTCAATATATATACATATCTGATACGGTTGCATGTATTGCGCATGTGCATGCGATTGAAACGTGTAAGTACGCACACGATTGCATGTACGCACGTATGTATCCACGTATTTACTACATCGGCTCGTAAAACTTGTATTAGCAGTTTAAATATGGCAACTGCGCATAGCGTGCCAACGTGAGCGCAGGCTAAGTTCTTTCGCTACGATTTAAATTACTTATCTTATTGACACTTTTCAGAATTTATATTTTCAATTTTATCACGCAATACGGTACATGTTATACCGAATTATTGTACTGTAGTAGGAATTCTTTTTATCTCTTTAGCATTTTCATAGTTGAAGTACTATGTTATCTAGAGAAAAATTCAAATTATCGACCGAGAACTTCTGCTTTTATGAACGTCGCCACGCTCCACCTATTTACATATGATCACACATTTTCTATTAATAAAAAGTAGCGAACTCATAAATTTACAATGTTTCAGTTTTACGAGCGCATTAGAACTGAATAAAAAATTAAATTGACATACATAAATAGATAAACATACAGATGAATTAATGAGCAAAATATGTGCGTGCGCATGTGTACTCGTATATGTATGAAATATTCACAAAGTCTACACATTTTTAAGTAATATTATCTTTGCAACTTTCGCGCTTTTCTGATTCAATAATGAATTGAAAAAAGAAACATTTTTTGAAAAATATGTCTAATATTATGTATACATGAAATAATTCATTTATTCAAAACTATATTTTAGAATATTTCAAAACTGTAAAGAAATACTTGCACTCATAAATTTTCACGCAAAGATACCAACTTTGAAATAAATAGTTATGTAATCAGTATGAACTTCTATGTGATACAAAAAACTAGTAAAAAATGCAATCGAACGCACTATTATGTAAGTGCATGTTTGTTATATGTCACTGCTGCATCGATATTTCTCATTTCAAAAATTAATCGAAATGCGTACATACGTAACTATTGTGTTTACGCACTAGTTTTGTCCCATTTCAAAGTTTAATTAGGAAATACGCATAAACACGTATTGAAAGTGTAATGATGCATATTAAATAGCTTTCCAATATAATATATAAGCATCGAATAATTTACACCAGTGTTTATAGCATATTTATTACTGTTTAAAATGTATGAATATTATGCTCAATGATAATACGCTACACTATATATGTATATAATACTAATAAATTTTACTGCAATAAATGATTGCATTATTTAAAATAATTGGTAAACAATAAACTATATTAATATTAACAATAATATAATGAAATCGAAAAACATTGTGCAACGATGAGTTTAACTATAACACAAAATTACATTGTCTGTAATGATTATTTACATACAAATTGTAATCATATTTATAAACATATCACATAAATATACAATACACATGAAATTATAAATTTGATAAACCAATAATAAACTTTTTATTGTAATAAATAATTATTTATTAGTTACTAGTAGTAATGAAATGAATTACATATACATGTCGTATAATACAATTACATGTTCAATGGTAATAAATTACAAACTTCATTAATGTTTACTTTTGAATTATAAATATAACAATACAACAAATGATAAATGAAATCCGTATGTTTTATGCAATATCCATTTTGATTGTAATTAAATCATTGCTTTTACTATAAAAAAGTTTTAGCTGTAAGCTACAATAATGTTAATAATAATAAAATAGATTGTATATATTTATAATACAATTTGTAGACCAATAACAAACTATAATAAACTATATTAATTAGTATATGTATATATCACATAAAGTCTATTATACAACAATAAATTTAATTACAATAATTAATTATTTTAATTACAATAATAATATTACATAGTTCGATGTATTATGATATTTGTCATTCGTAATTAAGTGTAGGTTATAATGAAGTATAATTACTGTTATATTATATTCAATAATTCATGTAAAAACTGTAAATATTATTATAGTGCGTACAGATATTCATAGTAATAACAGTTAAATTAATTATTTAATGTAATTAAATTTATAATCTAGTGATGTATATAGCTGATTATATTACAGTATTAATAATTTATAACCAAATATTGAGTTACTATTTATTATTATATTCGAACATATATTGTGTGATACGCATGTCTAGCTTACATTTAAATATATGTATCGTGCATACACGAGTTAAATAATACTAAACTACATTAATTTAACTGCGAAAATTGTTTAATTATAAACTATAATAATACAGCAAATTATGCGAAGCATACTATAATAAGTTTGAACATTGATCATCGGTATATGATAAGGTTAAAACTAAACGGAGTAGTGTTTAATAAAAACATATAGGGAGAAACGTATACTTGGCGCGGCCCTGAGAGACGACGTTGCCGGAGTGAGTGCTGAGTCACATATCGTGAACGATCTCTCCCAGGAAGGTGCGCTAGTTCGTTTCTCCGTGAAATGGATTGCATTGCATCAGTTTAACGTTATCATTGTTAGGATTATAGCGTCTTTGTAGCAAAATGATCTAAAAAAAAGGATACTTGGCGCTTGTCGCGTGCCTCGAATGTTTTATTAGAAAACATAGATCTACAACATTTCGAAACGTGGTATCGTTTGTGGATCTGTCAATTTTCTATTATCAGATCGAATTTTTACATTTTATATTATCAGTCGCAGCGTGTCAATGAAAGGACAGTGTTGTCACCGATTCAAACGAGCACCTTCTTGAATTGTCAAACGAAATCCGAGGCATGCGTGGGACGTGCGCGACGTGCACTGAAGTTTGACGTGGCCAGTGTGTGTTTTGAGGTTATTTTTGTGTTCGTGTAACTGACCTATACTTGTTTAAAAGAGAGCACAGGATCTTTATTTTCATTCTGACAGTCTATCGAATAAGTTGCTCTTACAAGAACTTTGCAGATCCCTCGTATCTTCATTTAAAATTTGCATCGATTATATTCAACAAAGAAGATAGTTTTGAAAAGTGATGTTTAACCTTAATAACAACTGAAATTTGAGTTTTAAGTTTCTGTTATGAAAAGACACTCTATACACATTTTTGTGCGCATCAAATTTAAAGAAATTTAAATAACAGTGTGAACGTCAACGTTTCATCATGAACTGTTGTTTGTTCATAACGTCTTATTTATTTTTTGTATTTAACGTCACTGCCAAATTACTGTGACAATACGTTAAATTACCTTGGACCGCATATATATTCGACAAGTGGAAGTGATTTAATTCAAACAAGAAGACACAATGTTATGCATAAAGAAGTTGTACCACGAAGAGCTGTTGCAGCTCGCGCTGCTACTTTCATTATTACGAATAGATCCAGAAACCTACCTTGGTTTGGACATCCAAACCATCGGTGTAGGTTCTCTAGGATTAAACAATGGTTCGAGATGGCATACCGATAATCATATGATAATCCATCGTCCTACGTTCGTTCATCCAAAAAATTTAGACTCTATGCTTTTAAATTATCAAAGAGATTTGTTCGAAGACTTAAATTCATTAGGAAGATACAATAGAATAAATTCAGGTTTAAATGATATACATGCCTACTTGTTAAACATCGAAGAAACAGCAAGAGATATGGCTATTGCGGGACCCAGTATATCACTTTCTACGAATCCAGCTAGAAATATGACATCACCAGATGCGCCAAATTCTTCACAAATTCCTAATGAACCAACAAACACAGCAGAGCTTACGCAAGAGGTATTTTCTCTTCTGTTTTTTAAAAGAAATTAAATTTTGGGTTTTTATTTCAACTTTCACCGCATGTACAAATAACGCTGCAATTATATGCTTAAAAGATACAATTGCAATTATACAAAAGATACTTAATGATAAAATGTTACAACATATTCTTTCTGAAAATCTATGTAATGATTATCATTTTATACCAAATATAACTCAAAATTTATTTTCTTATATTACTTTAATTATGTTTTATTGTATTATATTTGATTTATAAAAATTGGTGAAAACTATAAATTGATATAAATTTTTTAACAGAACATTTTTTCATAATTAAAAATTTGTGTATAATTGAGTATTTAAAAATTCATATTTTGTTTCAATTTTTTATAATCTAATTCTGATAATTTTATATCATTCTTTGATTTATTTTGAGATGGCTGAAAGAATATTTTTAGCACAAATATTAAAGCAATTAAAATTGAAAAAAGTCGAATGTATCAAATGCAATTGGAATATTTTGGGAATATTATTTTCCATTATGAAATTGTTAATTAGTTCGTTCACAATTATCGGAGCAGCCTCGCAACGAACAAGAACTGGTTTTAAAAAAGTGCGAATTCTCAGAACCACATCATGTAAATGACCTTATTGTCAAAAATACGTTATCAAGTATATCCTTGGGTCCTTGCAACGACCTACAGCGGTAAAAAGATTTTTGTTATTTTTAGACAGATGGGCTGACTGACTTCTTTAATACTTTCATTCCTCCGAAAAAACTGTTGATTTATTTTTACCCGAGTTCTTTGATTTTTCTGTTGACTTCTTTCTTTGTATACATCAAAATAATTTATATCTATCATAAGGTGGGAAATTTGAGGATTTATTATAATTTACTTGAACCATATTACATTCTTTAAAACGAAATTCATTATACAGAAGAAAATTTAAAAAATAATCGGTACTTTGTTTATAACAAAATATTTGCATGTGAGTTATAAAACACGGCTTATTTTTCTACTTGGATAAAAAGTATAATATTTTTAAAAAATGATGTGAGAGGTCAACTTTGTTTAATTTACACGAATAGATAATCCTTATTTAATTTACACGAGTAGTGTTTATCTATTTAATTTACGTGACTAGATCATCTTAGCTATTTAATTGAAATACACTTTTACCAGAACGTGTTATTTAAAATAAATTTAATATCGTACGATTCGAGAGTTTAATTATTATAAAAATCAAATTCTTACATTGTTTACATGTACGGACACGTGATTAACATCATATAGCCATATGGTTTATATAGTTAATACATCTCCTTCTTTTTAAAATAACTTCGAGTCACTGTTTGGAAATTTGAAAATATCGTATAAACTTGATTCCTTAAACATTTATTTTAAAGACTTAAATATAACTATGAATATCGATAAACATATTGCGAACTGTTCAGAAAATCGAAATATGTTATGAAGTACTTATAAATAGTACAATCAGTATTTCATAGTTAAATTGTATGTTTATTAACTTATACATATACAATATATTGTTTTTCGTAATAATAATAATAATGACGAGTATTGTTTCATTAATCTTAAGACGCTTGAAATAATCGGAATTCAGTGTTCGATCATAGAGGTTTGATAATTCTTTGTTAAAATTTTCAGTTTATTATTGCAACACATACATTATGATGTAAGATTAGATATTATTCATCTCGAATATCTGATAAGTAACCTTTTATCAAACGTATTTTATAAGTATTTCAAAATATGTGGTAGTTATTTATCTCCAAACTGATCATTTATTTTGAAAAATAAAACTGACTATGTTTACATAGTAATACGTATTTAAATAAAATCTGTCTACATCAAAACAAATGTTAGAAAAAGACACATTTTTAATTACATCAAGATATTTTTATTTATATTATATAAAAATCAATTTTTTTTTAATATTCTTGTTTAATAATTTATAGAAACTTGTTTTCAAGAGCTTGTATCACAGAACATTCTTGCAAACTGTTTTGTAATTTCATAACATTTGCCTTTTATCTTACGTGATACCAAGTAAATCCGTTCTTTCACGTTCATCATGAACGATAAGATTCTGGAAAGTAAATAAAAAATATAGGAAGCAATTAGGAAATTACTAGAATGTAGATATTACGTAGATACGTGTTCATAATTATGCTAATATAATGATTATTTAGATTGTTTGATTCACCAAAACACATTTCTATTTTAGAGACACGTATTCCACGTTTTTCTATTAATTTGATATGTGTGAAATGTTTTCTGAACTTTTCATGTAATGTTTCAGGTAGCAAATACTGTTTGACAATCCATACATAGATCATATTAAAGAACTTGTTCATAACATGTGCATGTTATTAAATATCTAGAAATAATTTCTTGAAGCTATAAAAAATGAGACTTGATAAACTCAAATCTGGCAATAACGCGAGAAAAATTAATTGAAGAATTAACTTTATTGTTCGCAAAAGTTAAATGTAGACGCTGTTAAACAATTTGCGAAAAGTAGCATAGATATTTCATTAGAAGACTAAAGGTTCTACGATAATGTAATAAAGCTGTAACTCGTTGAAAACAGTGCAAATATTTATACACAAGTTGTTTCGGTTATCCTAAAAAGAAATATATTATTTATATTTCTAAAAATAATATTCTTAAAGTTTGAATTTGGAAAACGGTGTTTCATATGCATCAACCTGTGGGTTACATAACCGATTTCATAGCAGCGAAAGTCTAGAAGGATTTGATAACATAAAAGTACCGTAAAATAATATTTATTTTATACCAATTTGAAGATTAAATTTTCTTGAAAATAATCGTATAACCTTTTCTTATAAACCATATAAGTTATTAATGTTCTTAATGCAAAATGACCAATTGCTAGTTGTAGCAAACGATGATCGACTTGAAAACTTATAAATTCTCACACGAGTTCATGACATAAAACTGTTATAAAATAGCACTGATATTATATAAAGCTAAAGCTTAAAGTTCATTGAAAATGACTTTAATAACATTTCATTAATATTTTTAGTACAAATTGGTTGATTGTCAAAGAATCTTATCGATTACCGAGTCATATGCAGTAAAACGATTCTTTAGAAACCCACCATCTTGCATTAGAATTATTAGTGACCTTGTTTGTGTAATGACTATTTTGAAACTTAAAATTTGAAACTGACATAGTATGTTATTTCGTTCTTCTGTGTTATCGAATCGTATTAAAACTTGCACGCTCCGAAATCGGCCATTTTGTACTAATACATATGTAACAATCGAGTTAATATTAATTTATGAGTTCTAAACTCATTGTTTCAACCGTATAAAGATATACGGTAGAAATAATGCAATAACTTTTTTTATCAATTCCACGTTGGTATCATTTATAGCATTTTCTTGGCAATAGCCTTGAATATCCAGGTCACCCATATCAGTTAAGTAGGTTAATTAGTTGTGATTCTATTCTTTAACTGCCTATTTACACATCTAATGCACCTTCTAAGAAGATTTTATTATATTTAGGTATTGCAGAAATCTTGTGTAAATGAAACTAAATATACTGTTCGATTGTATAACATGAACAGTTCGTTTATATACGGTATATACGGTTGTTGGTATTTATCAAATACAATACGGGTTTATTTATATGAGTTATTAAAATTGTTTTCAATCGACATTCAAATTTTATTACGAATAATTTTATGTACAATAATATTTGTTATTAGTTTATGGCTAGTTTGTTATTAATTCATCACTACTTTATCACTAATTCATCACTAATTTATCATTAATTCATCACTAATCTATAACTAATTTATCATTGATTCATCACTAATTTATCATTAGTTAATTATTAATTTATCTCTAATTTGTCGTAGTTTATCGTTAGTTTATCACAAATCTATCACTAATTTATCACTATTAATTCAAATTAGTTTAATCTGATACAATTGAAAAATCAATCAACAAATCATTAAGAATCTAATCACACATAAAATAACAGATTTACTCAGACTCTACTTAAGTTAAATAATTTCTGCTACTTATGAATTTTTAATAATATTGTCACTGCTCTTAATATGTTTGTTGTTATTACAGGCTTAAAACATTGAATGCATTTAGAGAGAATAAACGTATATTTATTACTTGTATGTAATGCAAGTATAATGAAAAAAGTGAAAAATGTCGAAAGCAAGACGACTGTTATTACAATAAATAAAATTGTAATTAACACTGATCTTACTAGTGAAAAATACACACTTACAAGGGACATTACCCAATCGCTAATCGCCAATTTTGATGCGCTTTGAGTATGATATAGAACGCAAACAAATATTTGACACGTATTTTTTTTTATCGGCCATCGTCCATGCTGAAGGGGTGAAAATGGCCCCCAAAGTTGGGGTTGCAAAACATATTTTCTCGAATATCTCAGGAACTATTAGGCCTAGACAAAAAATTAAAAGTGCAAATTTTTCTGTTTTAGAAGGCCAATAATATGGCCTAAGTGGATTTTTGAAAAATTTATTTGTTTAAAAAATATGTTAAAAATTAACATTATTTTGCAAATTTTTTAAATAAAACTTTGCACTATTTTGATCAAATTTCACATATGTAAACTATAGGTCAAAAGACAAAATACGGATAAATTGGAATTTTTAATTTCGCTTGTGGAAAAAATATTATTGTCGTTGAAGTTATCGTACATTTTATACCTTCCGTTCGGTGCACAACTGATTTCTATACGTAATATTCTGGAAATTGTATTATATTACATTTTTTACACTAACTTATTTAAAAAAAGAATTTGAAGATCCAAAGGTATCTCTATAAAAATATGTAGTTCGAGTCAGATATCGCATTTGATCCGCGTTATGGGCGCGTACTGGTGGCAATATTCGACGCACGGAGGATCTTAACGCGTAAATTGTACTTGTGCGAAGTGTAATATCTTCATAATGATGTAGAATACGTGCAATT